TAGAAATTTCATTAACTATTTACCAATCAATAAAAAAAAAAAAGAAACCAAACAATCATATGAAAAACAATAATAATAATAATAAGAAAGTTATGAAGTCAATATAAAATATAATTAACCAAAAAATTTATAAATGAAATATGCACATGCATTCAACCATAAATGGGTAATGAAATAATCAATCCAAGTCAATCATACATATTCCCAGTCATTACTGATAAAAAATAAAACAAATACATATTTTTACCTATATTTATGCTCATATTTTTACCATATGATAATTATTACATTAACCTCATAATAATGAGTATTATAAATGTTGCATAAGTAATTCTCTCATTAATCCACTCCCATCCATCCATGAAAAATTCTTATTCAATCATACTAATAGATTAAAAATCTCAAACCATTCCTACTTATCAACACACACATCCAATTGAACCGTCAGTTTAAAAGTATCACCTATATTGAAATTTAGCATCACCCCAAAACAAATCCAAACGAGATTTAAAAACACTTGTATTTGGAGAGTCAACAATAGATTGCGGGAGTCTATTCCAGTCCGCGACTACTCTGTTACAAAAAAAATATTTTCTAACATCCTTGTGAGATAAACCTGTTGACAACTTTATATGATGCCCTCTAGTTCTCCCATCATTATTGAGCAACATGAACGAATGATCAGTATGGTACTAAATTTTTAACAATGAATGTCACTTCGCCAAGATGATTTTAACACATTTATTGTTGTTTATTGAGATCGTCAGCGTTAAAGTTTCCACAGAGTCATGCATTACTTTTCCATCGATACTGTGAGTTATTTGATTCAGAATCAATCAATCTAAAATCAATCTTGTTTAGCGTCCAGAGACCCAGTTCCCCCGAGGTAGGACGTTTTCTTTGTCATCAATTTTTTGCGCCAAATTAGACGATCAGTTGTATTCAGTTCATTTAAATTTAGAGCTTTCATGTCTTGCTCGATTGTTTGCGACCACGACTTCTTTGGACGGCCTTTGGGACGTGTGCCAGGTACTTCAACATCTGCAAGAGAAGTTATGGCACTGTTTCCACTTCGTTTGACATGACCAAACTACCTCAGTCGGTGTTGCCAACATTTGTCCTTTATATCATCTAAACGAGCACGACGCAGGATTTTGGTAGATTTGATGTGGTCTTTCAGACAAATTCGTTGCATTCATCGGAGCATTTTCATGTCGGTTCGTTGAAGTTGTTGTTCCAGTTTGGTTGTCATTGGCCATATTTCTGCACCATATAACAACACCGGACGTATCACAGATTTATAAAGTCTTGATCGTAGTGGTAGTGGGATGTCACGCCGCATCAATATAGAGGCAAGGAGATGCCATTTATTCCAGATCTGTCAAGAATTAGAAAGATTACTAAAAATAAATAATTATTGTTTTAAGAAAAAACTTGTAATTGGAAGCAACATACTCCCACAATGTGTCAACGAAGATTTATTTTACATGGAAAATCATTTCAATTATGTACAGAATGCAAACCACTATTATGAATTAATAAAAAAAATAATAACATTATATACAACATTAAGACGTTTTAACTTAACTAAAGAGTTTTCTATCAACATGCAGTTTTAATAAAAGTAAATTAAATAATACAATGCAACAAAAATTATACAATTTAAATTTATTAAATCAATTGTTTTATTGAATTTGTACAGTGCTTCTAATATCATCAGCATATACTAGATTCCAAATGTCACCAGTGCGTATCGGTTTTGTGATTTCTTCCATCACAGTTATAAATAACAGTGGACTGAGAATCGAGCCTTGGTGAACTCCAACGCCGATGTCAAATGCATCTGTGTTTCTTCCAACCGTTGTGCTGACAAGAGTCTTAGTATTCGTATACATTTCCATCACAAGTCGAACAAGATATTCTGGAATGAGTTGTCGACGTAGACTCCACCTGATTGCTTCACAGGGAACTCGATCAAATGCTTTTTCAAGGTCTGCAAAAATGTGTGATAGTTGTTGATGCTTTGCGAGGTACTTCTCTTGCAGTTGCCGAAGGATGTGAATATATGTTGCCAAGAATCAGAAAGATTATTGAAAATAAATAATTATTGTTTTAAGAAAAAACTTGTAATTGAAAGCAACATACTCCTACAATGTATCAACGAAAATTTATTTAACAAGGAAAATTATTTCAATGATGTACAGAATGCATAACACTATTATGAATTAATAAAAAAAATAATAACATCATATACAACATTAAGACTTTTTAACTTAACTAAAGAGTTTTCTATCAACATGCAGTCTTAATAAAAGTAAATTAAACAATAAAATGCAACAAAAATTATACTATTTAAATTTATCAAATCAATTGTTTTATTGAATTTGTACAGTGGTTCTAATAGACTACATCAGAAGCAAATTGTATAACCTTAGTTTTTATCTTTTATATATAAATATATGTATATATATTTCACTTTTTAAGGTAGTTGAAAGATAAACTTATAATTATGTAAATCAAACATTTTGCAGTTATATAACAAATAAACAAAACCGAAATCTAGAAATACAAAAGGTAGGACTGATCTAACTTGACTCATCACGAATAATTACTAATTATTACAAGATAGACGTTTTATAATCAACAAGCAAGAAATATAACAATTTACACATAAATATAATAATATACAATTATACATGCTCAGGATCTAGCACCTTCAGGGTTATTTTATAAATAGTAATGTTAATTAAAAATCATTAAAGTATTAAACATTACATAACTATTCTTTTAAATCAACAATTGTTCGTTTTAAATTACTAGCATAATGAATTTGATGTTAGCTTAAAGTATTATTTTTTTAATATATTAATAATGTCAATTACAGTTGAAATAGTTAAAAAATTTGATTTTAAATTAAATTATTATATAATTTATTTAATATATTAATAAGGCCGCTATCAGTGCTATAAGGCCGCAGAGATGCTATAAGGCGTGCGGGTTCGAACGGCGAACACGCCGTTGAGATGCTATAAGGCGTGAAAAATCCGCACGGTGAATTGAACGTGTTAATGCTGTAAGGCGTGAGGCCGCACGGCAAATTCGACGTTGAGATGCTATAAGGCGTGCGATTCGCAGGTGAATACGACACTTAAAATTATAAATCGTGAGACATCTGCACATCGAATTCGACGTTAAGATGATAATTAAAAAACCCTAACTAACCCTCATGACGAATTCGACGTTGAGATGCTATAAGGCGTGCGAATCACGAGTGGGCGAATACGACGTTTTGACGATGAAAAGCGTGAGATTCGCACGACGAAATCGACGTTGAGATGGCCAAAGTTGACGCTATTTTGACGATACAGGACGCAGTCAAAGCGCAAAATTTGACGGTTATCAAGACAATATAAAGCATTTTTGTTATAGAATGACAATTTTTAAAATAAAAAATTTATTGCATCAAGTGTCGTAGAGTAACACACACAGACAAACACACATATTTACACAGTAATGCACGCGGGTACATTGTTCATGTGTTAAGACGAAACAGTTACCAAAAGACCCAAGATTGTTATATCAACACTGTCAACAAAACTATGTCCCTTTTGGTAGCCTTTTCATTTCAACACATGAACAGTGAGTGGTACCAGTTTACACAGCCATCACACTGCACCCCCGAAGTACGAGTTTGGTTGTCTCTTCCAGAGTGATGTCTACAAACAACACAAACATACAAATTTTGTCCAATTGACTACATCTTATTTTCTAATTTTGTCCATGCTTCATTGGAAAAATATTGTTTCAAGGTGGACATATTAGCACGGTCATCTGTGCATCTTGGATCAATTATTTCTTTAACATCGTTAATTGATGCTGCGCAATCCGTCTGAACACAGTTTTTAGTTGTTTCTTCAGGTAACTATTAATAAACAAAATTTAATTACCATATTAATCATTATTAAAAACTTCATTTTAATTTTTTAAAGTATTATTATCACTTGCAACATACAACAATAAACAAAATTTTATTATCACTAATCATTATTAAATATTTCAATTTAATTTTTATTACTTTCTTCCGATTTTTGCAGCATGCCAAATAAACTGCTGCTGCTCACAAATCCAGCTCCTAACTTTAATGACTCGGAACTCATTTTCTCAAATTAGATTGATAAAATAACAAATTTTATTTTATTTAATTAAATTATATCAAACAAAACAATAAAAATTCGCCGCTCACAACTGAAAGAAGGGGGAAAATGAACTCTTGCCAAAGATAATAAATAATAGTATTACGACGCGCAAATAAAAATTTATTTAAAAAAAAATTTTTTTTTAATTTATTTTCAATTGTAAGTGACGGAAATTTTTACAAATACTTTTTAAAATAATATTCGGCATAAAAAATAATTTTTGAACATATTTTTTCGTACGCACGCCTTATAGCGGTCTAACAAGTTCATGGTCGGCGTGCGGCCCGCACGCCCGATAGATTTATCGATTAATAAATAATATAAATCATAACATTTAAACAGAAAAAAGATTGTTTGCTTTTACTACCAAAATAAATTTCAAAAATCTCCTGTGTGATTAAATTTGGTTTGGGTATGTTATGTTTAAAGCAAATATTCCTTTGTAGTTTGTATTGTAAGCTTTGGAGTGTTGAAAGATTCTAGTTTTTAGGACATATGCACAGAAATTACATTTTAAATTAAAAATTATTAGTTGATTAATTTATTTATTTATATTTTTATAACAATATATTATAAATTTTTAATATATATTTTAAACAGTAATAACATTTCATTTTTACAATAAAATTTTTACTGATTTCTTTTCGTTTTCTTGATTCTAATTTAGTTTAGGAATGATGAGAGCTTTACTCTAATAAAATGATATGAAGTAAATGAAGTCCATCATCATCATGATTCGTGGGTATTGGGAGAATGAATGAAGAAATCTTTATTTCAGAAAAATGAGGATTACTAACGAACTTATTATAAATCTTCGAATTTTCTGATGCATCAAAAAAATGGCAATATCAAGTTAACGATTAAATACGGTTATATAAACCTTATAAATTAGCCTAAAACTTCACGGAATGTTGAAAACGAAATAAATTTTAACAAACGAGTTGAATGTAGATCGGCAAAGAGTCATAAACATAACTTCGGAAAGGCCAAGATTTTTCTAATTATATCTCAGGTTTTTCTAAAAATAAACCAAAATGCTCATGAATAATTAATTTTTTAGGAACTTGCCTCCAGAGGAAGCTTGCCCGTTGAAAAAAAATTTCAATGTTAAAACGCCGATAGGGCGCTTCCAGTTATATAATTCCATGGTTCGAACATATAAAAAAACCCTGGAGATGGTTTCAAAACAAATGTCTCTACCTCGTGATGTAAACTCATTAGATTTCAAAGAGATGGTCGAATATATGAATTCAACTTTCAACCCTACAACTTTTCTGATTAGGGAACGCTACAAATTTTGGACAAACTGCAAAAGAAAACCGGGCAAATCAGTTCAAGAATTAGCAAACCGAATTCGACAGTCTGCAGCTACATGTGATATTCTTAATATTGAAAACCCATTAGATAAAGCGTTGAGGACAAATTTCATTTGCAACATTCAAAATGAAGCAATTTTGAAAGCTCTTTTCAGGAAAGCTATGTCTGGAATTCAAAGAGATTTTTTATCCTAGTCTCGGTTGTCTAAAGAATGTTGAATTGGACATCAAATTCCGAGGAAATACAAATATAAAATATACAAATATAAACACCTTTTAACCATGTTGAACACATGAATTGGACCATATTTACAAGATGATTTTGTCTTGATATCAAACCAGGTTGGTGCATAAGCTTTCATGATAAAATTGGCTAATTCTTTCAAGTTTTCCGCATGGTTAGCTGTTCCAATATATAACTGAAGAATTCTGTTTGCGCAAGTCAACCATCGAAAATATGTCAGTTTTCCTGGATCTTTAATAGCTAAGTCTGGCGATACCGTACTAGCAGAAGTTGCGGAGCACATTTGATACAGATATTTTTGATTGGTGCTTAGAAAATCAGTATTCAGGTCTGGCAATTCTGTTGGGATTGGTTCAAATGCTTCTACTTTGAAGTCGAGACAGCTGTCGAGCCTTTTTCCGATGCTGCCAGAAAAGCTATTAGGGCCCGTCGAGACTGGAAAACAAATGGCGAAACGGTAATTCATTTGCGTGTAACAGGCACACAAACCATTGCAAAGGCCGTTTCAGGTGTTTTTATAGTAAAACAATGACTCCATTTTTGTTTCCTGCGTTTACCGCTGTGCCATTCCATCCAATTGCCACCAAGGAAGAACGAAATTCAAATTTCATTTCAACAAAATCAACAATGCTTTTTCAATCGTATTTGCTTTTCCAGAATCAATAGAGAGATGACCGATGTATTCAGAATCTGGCTCTGACAAGAGAGAAATATGCTCCTCAGTAATAGTTTTTTGATGTGCTGTATTGTTCTAGTAGTCATGACTAAAGTCTTGTCTTTACGATCGTCGAAATAAATAGCTGTAATAATTTTATTGTCCTCAGCATATTGCAAATGTTTGCGTACTTTTTTTCGCTCTCGACGTATTTTGCTTCTGTCTATTACTTTTGATGAATCGTCTGTCCCAATAACATTCGAATCAAGCAAGGCAACGTTAACAATAAATGCATCAGATCGATCAGAAATTTCAGTTCTATCGCATGCGGTAGCTAGATTTTGCAAATGACCTCTCATTTGTTGAAATTTTTTGCCAGATCGACGTAGCGTTTCTATGATGCGAATCTCATTCTCATCTGATATATCAGTTGAAGAACTACCAGATGTTGAATCTATCATTTGGGTAGACGAAGTACTTGGACTACAGACGAATTTTTTCATAAAATCATAGAACTTTCGTTTCCTTGCATCGAAAAAAATATTTTCTTGTTAGAAGTACAAATACAATTTTTTTTATGAAATGCCTTCACGGTTTGCCACCTCGAGATAAAGTCGAGGACTTTTAATTTTTTGCACGAATGATGCTTTCCCATAGGGTCATCGATTAACGGTACAGGAAATTAAAAAATAAGAAAAAATTTTTTTTTGCCAAATTCACTCCACCCTAGTACACATGTAATTATGTGCACGCGCAAGCACCGCATCATATACGCTGAGTATATGATAGCCATTGAGATGTTTGACTCAGCAAGCATTTGAACTACTGAACCATCTCGCCGGCCAACATACGACAACTTACGTCGTCTACCCATTTACCAGCCTCGAAAGGATGGACGGCTGGGTTGGCCAAGGGTCGGTTACCCTGATGAACTTGTAGAACTGCAGGATTCGAAACCGGGTCGTGGGAGCGGTAGGCGGACATGCTAACCACTCGGACACGAGACCCCAGAATTAAATTAACCAATGACCTGCAATTAATTACTATATTCTACTCTCTTCACCAGTGTTTCAAAAACCTTTTTTTCCACTTTTTAAAATCGCTTTTCGGTGCCATCTTTTAAAATTTAGTAGATTTCGATTTTTAAAAATTTGCAAAAATTTAATTTTTTACAACAAAAATTTGAAAATGAACTCGATTTTTTAATTAATTTAGAAATATTATTAAAACCACGAGATAGTTGTTTACATAGACAGATTTTCTATAAAATATTTTCAACATTTGTCAACAATAGATTATACAAGTATCTCGAAATGAATAACATCATCAATAAAACAATACAGAAAGGTTTCTACTCAGAAGAAGACGGTGTAGCTGAACACACCCATTTATTGTCCCATCTAGTGAGAGACGCAAAGAAGCACCAGAGAACTATTATTGTTACACTTGTGGACTTACGAAATGCGTTTGGTGAAGTTAGTCATGATCTCATTTCATCAGTCCTTCAACACCACCATATCCCGGACCAACTGAGCAATTTGATTTGATCAATATATGCTAATTACTCCATTACTGTATCTGTGTGTAATAATTTAACTACACCCATTCCGGTGAAACGTAGAGTACTGCAAGGCGATCACAGCTTCCCCTTGCTTTTCAATTTATGTTTCAATCCTCTAACAGAACTATTACAGCAAAAATATTACCAGCAATGCGGATACATTTGGGGATACATAACTGCTAGCCTAAAGTCACGAGCTTGGCTCCAATTTGCTGACGATTCATTGCAAACAGCACAGAGGAAGCCCAAAAACTGATTGATCTCAATCTAGCTTGGTGCCGATCGACGGGTATGAGGATAAGAATAGATAAATGTTGTATGAACAATTTTTACCAAAATTAACAATTGATAACGAGACGATCCCTCAGATCAACATCTATGATCATTTCACATATTTGGAAAAATTTTATGGCTTCAATTGTAGGAACGCAAAAGAAATGGAGTTACTACATAGTGAACTCAAACGAATATCACATACGATTGATGAATTGGATACATCCGTGCAGTGGAAACTTGAAATTCTAAGACGCTTTTTTCTATCCCAATTAATATTTGAACTTCGTATGTACGACATTTTATTGACATCGATAGAAAATACATTAGACCGTTTTATAAGAAACCGTGAGAGATTGACTGACCATGCCCGTAAGCAGCTGCGTCGCAGAAATATTATTTTTGCCCTACAAATCCGGAGGCCTTAACATAAAATCGCTAAAGTGTCATGTTGAAATGGCGAGGCTAAAACTCCGTGGTTATTTTAAACAAAACGCAAGCGATGAAATAAAATCTCTCTGGAACAAAACATGTAACAGAAAAGTCCGGAGAATGTTGATATTAAGCAGGCACTTGAAGCTCTCAAACGACAACATCATCAGTGGGACCAAATTAGTAAATGAAAATATCCACGACTCAGAGATTGCACGATAGTCTAAATCGACAGTAAAACTATCCGAAGTCCTTTATAAATTTGTAAAAATATATTACACAACAACTGCCAACAAATGGTAACCTTCAAAGATGGAGCAAAAAAATATATTACACAGCAACTGCCAACAAATGGTAACCTTCAAAGTTGGGGTAAAACAGCCAATCCATTGGGTCTTCTTTGCAACGTGAAACAAATTTATAAACACCTGTTCTCAAATTGTAGCTCAATGGCAGCACTCAAATGATACTTAAATCGCCACAACAAAGTTCTCTCAATAATCATCAACAATATCAAGGCATGTGCTGGTCCGAATATCGCCATCTTCGCGGATGTAGAGGATGATGCGACACGTCCACTATCAGAGCTATTAAGATCGCTTAGACCAGACATTACCATTTTCAGCAACAAAACAATTGAAATAATTGAATTAACTATTTGCCAAAAAACAAATTTGTCAAGTCTAGGCAATACAAACTCGACAAATATACAACCAATCTCAAAAACAACTTGATGAACAATTTTAATCATTATACCATTTTAATAAATTCTTTAGGGTTTTACAATTCCTTCAATTTATCTTTAATTAAAATTGACTGGACCAAATATTTTCGCCAAAGTTTAATTAGCAGTGTGATATCATCATCATATGCCATTTATTGTGATCGGAACAATGCGTGAATTAATTCTCATAATTATCTTATCATCGCTGAACTTATTTTATTTTAATGAAAAGCAATGATGACTAACTATGATGATTATGATTTTATTTTAATCATGACTATTTCTCTATTAATTAATTAATTATTGATTTTACGCATTTGATAAAAAATAAAAGATCTGTACGCCTTTAATGAAAAAAAAAAGATCTGTTCCCATTATTATTATAATTGTTGTTGTTGATGGTGTTGTTGTTATCATTATACATATTATCATTATACATATTATCATTATTGATATTATCATTATAGTTTTTATCATTGTTAGATTGCTGGTTGATCCGATTAATGTTATTGCTGTTCATTTTTCGAGTTGGAAGTGTTGTTGTGATTCGTTGTTGGATGTTGATGGAAGGTTTTTCAGATTCGATAAAAATGGCTTCTGCGATTTTTAGGTTGTAGTGCTGTTAATTGTTGTATAAGATTTTTGTGTTGTTATCTAGAAGGTTCCTAGTTATTGGGGTGTTGTGGAAAGTTTATAGATGGTTTTTTTTATTGCACCGTCTCTTTTGTGCATAGTTAGTTTACGCAGTAGTGTTGTACTAGTCATCTAAACATAGGAAGTTTGAAGACTCGCACATTCGTCAAGAGGACAAGAAAATTTATATATGAGATTACTACGTTTCAAAAGGAAAGTGTTGTGAGGTAGGCAATTATTCAAAATTAAAAAGTTAAATGTTTTGTAGTTTTTGTAAAAGATTCTTAATTTTATTCCATCGTTCGGGCTAGTTGGTTTAATATTATTATCTTTTTCATGATCTTTTTAACAGTTTTGTAAGACAAAGACATGAAATTTCGATAATATAGTGTAATGGTGTTATTATTGTTATTGTTGATGTTGTTTGTGTTAATGGCATTATCGTTGATGTTATTGTTATTATTATTGTTGTTGTTATTGTTAGTGTCATTACAATTGTTGTTGTTAATATTATTATCGTTGTTACTGTTATTATTGTTGTTAAGTAATTACCGTTGTTGTTGTTGTTATTTTCTTTGTGGTTATTGTTGATAATAGTGACAATATTATTATTGTTGTTGTTTTGGTTCATACGTTGTAATCGCCAAACATAATTATATTATTAACTTTATATATATATATAATAATATCTAATAGTATACCGCTAATAACATCACTTTTTTGCCCGGAGCTTCTCGAACAGCGCCTCTGAGTTTTACATAGAGGGGCGCTATACAAATTCTCCATACCATACCATATCTATGCGGTGTTTACACCGTGTCATCTTCACGAAGGTAATGTTCGCGACGGCTTTGGTGTATCTAACAGGCGGAACCAATATTGTCAAATTGGCTGAACAGTTTGAACTAATATATTTTCGTTTAATAATATTACACGGAAAATTAAAAACTTAATTTTATTATATAAGCATCTGCGTCCCGTTATTTTTTTGAAATGATACGATTTCGGCTACGATGAAGCGTATCTAACAGGCGGACTCAATCATGTCAAATCGGCTGAACAGTTTGATCTAATAAATTTTCGTTTAATGAAAATACACGGAATTATTAAAAATAAGAATCTGAGTTTCGTTATTATTTTGAAAACGATACATAACGATACGATAACAATACGATAACGAGGTATCATGTACACGAGTATGTGCACAAGTTGTATGATGATTTTTGAGTTTTTGAAAGATAGTATTTGAACCAAAACATCGCGCAATAACAATGACGCTTGGCACATTTACAGTCTGCCCTTAGTTTTCCCGCCAACTCCGCTTTACAAAATGTACTGTATTAAAACAGAAAAAAGTTAAAGGTCAATTACACTCTTCCAAAGTTCAAAGGATTCAGCAAAGCGCAAAACATCGTAAATGAACATCGTGCTAAACGACGCATTACACACGAAGCACGTGATACGCGGAGATATTTTTGGCACAGTCGAACCCGGTTACTGCGAAACAGCACCAGGCGACCTTAACCATTAGACCATCACGCCGCCCAGTCATTTCGCCCAGAAAACAGCCATTCAGTTGAAAAATTAAACAAAAGTTTGTTTTTGTTTGTATTTTTATTTGATACGAGACTTTTTGGAGAATGTCTCGTTTAAATAACGATACGATATTTTTAGAGTCTTTATTAAACCAAAGTCATTCAATTGGAAAAAAATTAAATAAGTTTGAATATTTTATAACACTTTATTTTTTTACAATGAGCACTTTTACCATTTCCACACATTGAAATAATGGTACGAGACGAAAATTGTGTCTTTTATTTTTTTTTTCGATATGATAGACTTTCCTAAAAATGTCTTGTTTAAATAACGATAGGAGATCTCTGGTATTGTTATTAAAAGATAAGAGATTTTTCGTATCGTTTTATAACGATACAAGATTTTTTTACCGTTATTATTATTAAATCTCTGTCCATTGGTAACGAAAATAACGGTTCGAGACGCAGGTGCATATGTATAAGATTCTATATATTATTTGTTGACATTATAATACAATTTAAAAATTGTACAGTATATTATCGAATATTTTAAAATTGTGTTATACTTTGATTTATAAATTAATCTTAATGAACTCGGTGAATTAAACAGGAACTGCAAAGAAGTATTGGACTTAATTATGGAAGTTTTTGGTCCTTGTTATTATCTCGCAAACAACCTAAGTGCACCTCAGTTTTGAAGTTTCCTGTATCTGATGTGTTACAATGTCATTCATGCTCTTGCTTGTAGTATAGTTTATAATTTGATTAACACAAAATGGCAATACCAGAATAGAATACCATGATTGTACTTTTTAAATTTTAGATGTTTTTTAGATTATGTTTTGAAACGGAATAAAATTAAGAAAAATACTTTTAAAATTATGCTGCATGTTTAAACTCTAGTGTTACTTTCGAAAGAAATGTTCATGTTTTAATTCTCGTGTTTTAATTCGTGGCATTCTTTTCTTTTTTAAACGAGTTATTTGCTACAAATTTTTGTACAGATCCCCGTTTTTTGTTGGCTTTTCTAAAAAGAATTACATTTATACTAATATAAATTGTTTTAATTTTACACGTAGTGGTAGCTGATGATCCAACTTCTTCATTCCTTGTTTTTTTTTTGCCCAAGCTGAAATAGAAATTACATCACAAAACGGACCGGATTCGCGTAGATCAAGATGCTTGTTTCGGCAGTAAATACCGTCAGTGAAACAGCACGTTCAATCTAGGACGTTGTTCGTCAATAGTTTTATTTTTCTGATGCTGCGTCACATCAGAATTTGTCAAATGGAGGCATTAGTCCATTGTTAACAGCTCAACGTAATCGGCACATTTTTAGTGTTATTTTGAAACAGGAAATAGCGAAAGAGTAGGCCTGTTATTTCAAATCAGTTAAACCTGAAAACGACGAAACCAAGTATTCATTTGTCATAACTATGGCGTGATGGCTCAATGGTTAAAGGCGCCTGGTCTTGCTATTGCATTGACTGGGTTCGAATACAAAGAGATCCCCGCCTATCATATGCAATGTGTATGATGCGTGATTTGCACGCGTATTCATATACGCTCTGTGTGTTTGTCGTTGAAACCTCTGAAACAAACAAAAAAAAAGAGAGAGAAACCTTTAACCTTTATGGTGAATATTTAATAACTTTCTTTTTCGTTGTAATGATATTTGATGCTAATAACATTCAACCCCAACCTGTGTATCAATCAACATCGATATTGGGGTTTGTTTATGACATTTGTTTGTTACATTTTGAAACCGTAATTTTATTAAAGTTAAATAAAAAAAGTTATAAATGTTTTAGTAAATGAGTAATTAAGTCATATCACACACACAAACACATTTATATAAAAAATGGATATATAGGTACATATATAATATATATATATACAAAGATATATTAAACAACAATGTATACTTTTTTATAAACTTTTTATTACAAATAAAAATGTTAAAAATTTATTTCGTGCACTTTAGAGAATAAATGATGTTTCTCTTAAAGTTCATCAATCCACGTTCATTAAGGTGGATGCCGTCAGGTCCTATATTATTATCTCCTCCCACTCTGTCAAGCTTCCAGAAATGAACAATGTTAGACTGGAATTGTTTCAATGAGACATTTAGTTTATCAACTTTCCATTTCTGAACGTCTTTTCTATAAACCAGGCTTAATATGATTATTCGGTTATGTTTAAATTTCACTTTTTGCTGCGATTGCATTAGCATTTGTTAATTTTTAGCTAAAATAAAAAACATATTTTGTTTTTTTTTGTAAATTTAAATGTTCACGCGTTAAAGAACTATAGTTCAATTACTGTGCAATGCATATTATTCATTAAACGAAATTACATTTTTATTAAATTACAGTCTAGTTTGAATGAACAGGGTTGGTTTGGCCAAGCTTGCAGGAGCCTAAAGCAGAGAAATAATTTCACCAACCGAAAATGTAAAAAACCAGTGATAACAATAAAAAATTGAAATTCAGATTGATTCATTGCGGAAGAATAAATGCTTTTTAGGGTTAACTGAAAATGGTCCCAAAGGCAACGATGAATCTTTACAAAACCTACAGAGCATAATAACATGCAACAATGCCTTAGAAAGAAAAGAGGTTAGTTGCAGGATGTAAACCAACTTCACGGTGCATCTATTAAGTAGTGCAGTTGAAGAAGAGGTATACCAAGGTTACCGGTGACGCAAATATAGAAATGTATGGTTAACGCGTTCAATCGAATTTTTAAGAATGTGCACAAAACGGGAGAAAGTTTTGTTATATATGGTATTTTTGGGAATAAAATTGTCTATTAGAAGATTTAAATATTTTTCAGATGCACACATAAATAGATTTTTGGCGATTTTTTAACTTTCTCTTTACCGATGACGCAAATTTGGAAATGTATGGGTAACGCGTTTAATCAAATTTTTGAGAATGTGCACAAAACAGGAGAAAGTTTTGTTATATATGGTATTTTTGTGAATAACATTGTCTATTAGAAAATGCAAATATTTTCCAGATGCACACATAAATGGATTTTTGGCGATTTTTTAACTTTCTCGTTACCGATGACGCAAATTTGGAAATGTATGGTTAACGCGTTCAATCGAATTTTTAAGAATGTGCACAAAACGTGAGAAAATTTTGTTATATATGGTATTTTTGGGAATAAAATTGTCTGTAAGAAAATGCAAATATGTTCCAGATGCACACATAAATGGATTTTTAGTGATTTTTTAACTTTCTCGTTACCGATGACGCCAATTTGAAAATGTAGGGTTAACGTGTTCAATCGAATTTTTGAAAATGTGCAAAAAACAGGAGAAAGTTTTGTTATATATGGTATTTTTGGGAATAAAATTGTCTATTAGAAGATGCAAATATTTTCCAAATGCACACATAAATAGATTTTTGGCGATTTTTAAACTTTCTCGTTACCGATGACGCAAATTTGGAAATGTGTGGTTAACGCGTTCAATCGAATTTTTAAGAATGTGCACGAGACGGGAGAAAGTTTTGTTATACATTGTATTTTTGGAATAAAATTGTCTGTTAGAAGATGCAAATATTTTCCAAATGCACACATAAATGGATTTTTGGCGATTTTTTAACTTTCTCGTTACCGATGACGCAAATTTGGAAATGTATGGTTAACGCGTTCAATCGAATTTTTAAGAATGTGCACAAAACGGGAGAAAGTTTTGTTATATATGGTATTTTTGGGAATAAAATTGTCCGTAAGAAAATGCAAATATGTTCCAGATGCACACATAAATGGATTTTTGGCGATTTTTTAACTTTCTTGTTACCGATGCGCAAATTTGAAAATGTAGGGTTAACGCGTTCAATCGAATTTTTGAAAATGTGCAAAAAACAGGAGAAAGTTTTGTTATATATGATATTTTTGGGAATAAAATTGTCTATTAGAAGATGCAAATATTTTCCAAATGCACACATAAATAGATTTTTGGCGATTTTTAAACTTTCTCTTTACCGATGACGCAAATTTGGAAATGTGTGGTTAACGCGTTCAATCGAATTTTTAAGAATGTGCACGAGACGGGAAAAAGTTTTGTTATACATTGTATTTTTGGGAATAAAATTGTCTGTTAGAAGATGCAAATAATTTCCAGATGCACACATAAATGGATTTTTGGCGATTTTTTAACTTTCTCGTTACCGATGACGCAAATTTGGAAATGTAGGGTTAACGCGTTCAATCGAATGTTTGAGAATGTGCACGAAACGAGAGAAAGTTTTGTTATATATGGTATTTTTGGAAATAAAATTGTCTATTAAGAGATGCAAATATTTTTTAGATGCACACATAAATGGATTTTTGGCGATTTATTAACCTTCTCGTTACCGATGACGCAAATTTGGAAATGTATGGTTAACGCGTTCAATCGAATTTTTAAGAATGTGCACAAAACGGGAAAAAGTTTTGTTATATATGGTATTTTTGTGAATAAAATTGTCTATTAGAAGATTCAAATATTTTTCAGATGCACACATAAATAAATTTTTGGCGATTTTTTAACTTTCTCCTTATCGTTGGTATATTAATATATAGCGATTTTATGATGAAGTTTTTTATTATTTTATGCAATTTTTAATCTGAATAAAGTTAAAATGTTATAAATAACAAATAAAAAACAATAATAAATCTTTTTTCATTTCATTAAACCTTTAAATATTTATTTAATCGGTTTTTTCATAATCCGCCTTTTATATATGCTTAATCGTCGCTGAGTTAAAACCGTCGCGAACATTACCTTCGTTTCATCTTCTCGGATAAACTTTTGTGAAGTTGTGACGATTGTGATGATAATGATTGCGCGATTGAAATATGCCGCCTGTATATTTTGTGAAATTGTGACGATTGTGATGATAATGATTGCGTCTTTGAGGCGTGCCGCCTATATATATCTATATATTTTACTAGACATTCTATGCATGTATATTTTGTTATTTGATATGCTATATATGCGACGCTGCTGTGCTGTATCGCTTTTCTGAGTATAGGAAAAGAGTATAGATAGGAGTATAGAATTTTCTATGATATAGAAAGCGTTATGTAGATAGGGCGGTAAAAACATATAAAAGACCGCGAGTTGAGATATAGTGAGGAGGGGTCGTTTGTTATTTTTATTTTAGGTTTTGTCTCTTGCTTGGTAGTTGTATTATTAATAGATTAATTTTGGATTTATCGTTTTTTTAATAAAGACAGAGGTTTGATTTGTATTATTTTGTTTGTTATTTTATTTCTTTTATTGAATAAAAGAAGTGTACACTTGAAGTTTGGCTCGGCTTAATTATTCTACCTAAAATAATGGATGTTGAAAAAGACTTGCTGATAGTTGACGAGGTCGGTGTCTCTAGTCAACAAGCAGGGCGAGAACAAACTTCCGCCCGGCCCGTGTTTTCAGACCCTGAGAGGGTCTATTGTAGAGTGGCGGATCCCGGCCAGGAAAGACTCCGCCGAAGCGAAGGCTCGGGTGGATATTCGTATGCGGACGCGGTTCGGGACCACGTGGTGCAGAATTCGAATGTCGCCCGGCGAAAATCTACAATTGGCGCCCAACGTGGGGCCTCTTTTTCAAACATTACAGGTTTTAGGTGCAGCAGGAGCCAAGGTGATTCTCCAAATTTTTTAGGTGACAGATGCCATGTTCGACAACATGAAACTTTTTTAGATTTTAGGTCACAGGACAGAAGGAGGATCGAAAATCAACCTCGAGCAGACTTTCCTACTCAAAGCCACCTTAATTGTTGATGACATAAAATATCTTGGCTTCGAAAATCTCACAGTTAAATTTAATACATATTCATCGTCTTTCATCATCAGCTCAATCTACAGGCCACCAGGTCACGTTTCTACAGATTTTTCGACGTCATCATCAATTTCAACATCCCATTCATCATTTGTGGTGATTTCAATGCACCGGGACAGCTCAAAGTCATTGAACAACATCTTGAATCAACAATTGAAGCCCTTGGACTTTTTCAACACGTCAACTCTTCCACCCATTCCCATGGTAATATACTAGACCTTTTCATCACCAGTATACGTCATACATGCATCATAAACAACGTTTGAGTCATGGACTGTGTTTTCTCTGATCACAGCCTTGTGACCTTCGATACTACATTATCAAAGCCAAACCTCCAATCATTGTTCGTCAGCGTCGTAGTTATCGTCGTTTTAGTTCAAATGCTTTTCAACAAGAACTCTGATGTATTCTGCGATATACTTTCGCGTGGTGATTACGAGGTGGACGACCTTACATCTGCTATCATCACATCTACAACCAATCTCCTTGACAAGCATGCACCTTTTAGACGCTTGTCTCTACGAGGCAGCAATCGTCCAAAACATCAACTTTAAATTGGTGCAATAAATGCAATTCGGATCTGCCGTCGATTAGAAAGACAGTCAAAGCGATTTTGCTCAGAAATTATAAAAACTGAATACAAGAAGGCTAAAGAGATTGCTAAAACGTTAATTATGCAATCTAAGATTGACTCCATCAAAGAAGATCTTCACTCTAAAAGTAATCCTCGTGATCTCTGGCGATCGCTCAACAACCTCCTTCTTTTTCGTCCGCCACAACACTATTCAGATGATGAGTGCCAAATCCTTGTCAACTCTTTCGCAAATCATTTCATATCAAAAATAAATAATATACATCAATCAATCAAAGACAATATAGTAACAGATAACATAACACCTTTCAAACACAGACCACAATCAACAAATATATTCGATGCCTTTCCTGCTGTTTTGGTTTCAGAGGTGTTAAAACTCATCTCGTCTCTTGCTAATAAGACATATCCACTTGACGTTTTGCCTACTGTTCTTCTCAAAAAATTTTCCTCACTCTTTGCTCCTGTGACCTCAAAACTTGTTAATCTTTCTTTTAGCAAAGGTGTTTTTCCTACTATTTCAATACTGCCCAAATTTTTCCACTCTTGAATTTAATCTTGATCCATCGGACCGCTCAAATTATCGTCCCATATCAAACTTGTCTACTTTTTAAGAAATTCTTGAACGTTTGTCTTTAAACAGAATCCTTACACAGGTTACCTCTTCTTCAAATTTTCCACCTTCCGAGTCTGCCTATCGTCCTGGCTTCTCCACTGAAACTGTACTTCTCCATTTATATGATAATCTCACTAACATTTGTGGTAACCATAGCTGTGCTGCTATGATCTGTCTGGACCCATCTGCGGCCTTTGACGCGATTAATTATCAAATACTCCTAGAAAGGCTAAAAATGGATTTTGGCATCGCTGAAACAGCGTTGTCCTGGTTCAAACCGCCCCCAATTTATTAAACTTGGCACACAGGTCTCTTCTGTTTTTTGCTTATCTACTGGAGTTCCTCAGGGCTCTGTATTAGGACCTATGCTTTTCACTATTTATACTAGTCCCTTATCTGACATCTTTAACAATTATGGCTTATTCTTTCATCATTATGCTGATGACACTAGTATAGTTATCTGAAATCTCCCACCAAAATATCTTTTCTCAACTCGATAGATTTAACTCTTGTGTCTCATCAATAAAGGATTGGCATTCACTTAATTTCCTTCAACTAAATGCCCAAAAATCTGTAATAATGTTTTTTGGCACACCACAGCAACTCACAAAATGTTCTCCACCCTCCAACGTGACAATTGCTGGATCAAGCCTGTCCGCATCAACAAGTCTTAAACTTTTAGGAATTGCTCTTGATCCGTCTCTAACTTTCAAAACTCACACTTCTGCTCTCATCAAAATATGTAATTACATTATTTGGTCTATTCGCCATATTCGACCTTTTCTCACAGTCGAAATGACCTCCACGCTAGCACGCCGCCTTGTGTTATCTCGCCTTGACTACTGCAACTCTCTGCAATATGGCACTCCGGCGTATCTAATTTTCTCTTTTCAGATCATTCAAAACAGATTAGCCAAACTTGTTTTAGAATTACCTCGTTCATCTTCTAGTTCAACATCTCTTGCTCACCTGCACTGGCTGCCGATTCATCAAGGCATTAAGCATAAAATAGCTGTCATCACATATAAAACACTCAACACATCTCAACTATCATATCTTCACAAACCCATTCACCTTCGCTCGTCTGTTAATCATCGCCGTCACCTTCGTCTGCCATCGTCATTGTAATTGCATCAACCAGTCAATACATCAGCTCTCGTCAATAAAGGCTTCTCACATTGCTCACCATCCATATGGAACAATTTGCCACTCATCATCCGTCAACAATCATCAATAGAAACGTTTAAAAAGCGATTGAAGCAGCATCTGTTTGAACAGGCCTTTGGCAGCCGTACTGACACTTGTTTATCCGGGCGCCTCTGACGCTATGCATAGCGCGCTCATAAATGACATTATTATTATTATTTTTTTTTTAGACAAATTTATTTAGACAAAACTGGGAGACACAGAAACTTAAAAAACAAGCTTGTATGGCCACCCTAACCAAAAATATAGTGTCCACTTAAAAAATATTCAATAAGAAAAACATACAAATACATTCTTACAATATATAGACACAATACATCCATGAAGTCACATCATATATATAGCTTAGAATGCAAAATAATCCAACAAATATAAGCACAAGCTTCAATAAATAAATAAATAAATATCATGTCAATAAATATCAGTAGGAAAATAATCATAATGAATACAATTGAAAATTTGCTTTTTAAACTGAGTGATGCTATTTATATAATGAAAATCAGAAGGTAACAGAAACCATAATTTTAAACCAAAAATAAATATAGTTGAAGAAAATAAGGCAGTTCTTGACTTGACAATATGATATGGCAATGTTTGACGAGTAATTCTGAGAGAATACGAAGACGAATTTATCAAAAAAAAAATAAAATTGCAAATGTTTTTTTAAAACAATTAATTTAAATAAAAATAATAGCACTCGAAATAAATAAAGTTTAGAGACTGTTAAAATGCTAGATTTGGAAAAACAATGTGAAACATGGTTAAATTTTCTTAAATCGTAATAAATCCTAAAAAAATAAAACAAACGTTTATCAAGTAATACAATATGAGATTTAACATGACGACCCCACACAATGATGCAATATATTAAATGTGGATAAACAAGAGTATAAAATAGCTTAAGCATTAAAAATTTTGGTAAAATATAATTTAGCTTATAAAGAATACCCAAAATCTTTGAAATTTTTGTTGAAACATTAATGATGTGATCTTTCCAACACAAATTGCTTGTCACAATGACCCCAAGAAATTTTATTTTGTCTAATCTTGTTATTTGATTATTGTTATAATATAGGGAAAAGTTTAAAAGATTTGTAACAATTTTTGGACCAAAAAGTAAAGCATATGTTTTTGAGCATAAAAGTAAAGCATATGTTTATTATATATATATATATATATATATATATATATATATATATATATATATATATATATGACATATGCTTCACGTTTTGCATTTCTTCATTTTTTCTTTCATTAGTTTGTATTTGTAAAAATTGTTTCCATTTATAAACAATCAAGTGAAATGAGAGTATTATATATTTTAACAATATATATTATATATATATATACTATAGATGTATACAGAAGAAACATAACCAGGACCCAAAAAAAACCTTGGGGCACAAAACAGACCTTGGGGGCACCCAAGACAAAACTATATTGACCTCGGACACTTTACCACCAAATGATACCTGCTGAGTTCTAGCAACCAAATACGATTCAAACCACCTTAACACAGCACCAGAAAATCCAAAAGTAACACACAATCTCCCTAAAAGTATTTTGTGATTTACACAATCAAATGCGGATGACTTATCGAGGAACACCACCATAGAGGTATTCTGTTGATCGATAGCCCCATAGACGTCAGACAGAACCTTTAATAGAGCCGTTTCAGTTGAGTGATATTACCTGAAACCTGATTGATAAATCGGCATTAAATGATTATTCTCTAGGTGAGTGAGTATCTGTTTAACAACTACACGTTTGATTATTTTAGATATGAAAGACAAATTGGATATCGGTCTATAGTTTTCAACATTATTCTCATCAAGATTGTGTTTTTTCAGTAGTGGAGTTATTATAGCATATTTGCAAACAGAGGGAAATTTACATGTCAAAACGGCGAAAATAGATTAATAAACTTTTTGAGTATGTGAGTCGGTATTGCATCTTGTTGAGAAGACTTTGTTGGTTAATTTTTTACTATGCTGATTATATTTTTCTCAGAAACATCTGAAAATGTTGCGAACAAATTTTTGAGATTTGATCTGCAATCAGACGAGTTAGACTGAACTTTGATTTCGATGCTGTCTATCACCTTACTCAGTTTGTCGTTGAAGAAGGACATAAATCAATCCGGCGTAAGTTCATGCATACTAGAAGAATGACTGTCATTATGATCTCTGCAGAGAATTTTATTCAAAACTTTCTAGAGATTTTTAGGTTTTTTCTTGTTCTCCTCGACAATACTAGTCCAATATTTGTGACGTTTCTCTGAAAAGAGTCTTGATTTATTTTTCAAAGCACATCTCCATTCTTCACGATGAACTTGTAGCAAACTATTTTTAAAAATTTGTTCTTTCCTTCTACAAGCACATTTACAAAACCTGCACTCATCATCAAACCACGGAGCCAAATTAACATGATTGGTGACTACCATATGGATTGGTACAACTCTATTGATCACAATTTATTTTGCTGGTAAACAACTGCAGTTCTCCGTTGAACATGATTTTGATGTTGGAGAGTCAAGAATAAGTTTAATGAATTCATCCTCATTCAAACGATTCCATAATTTGACTACTTTTTTTTATTCTTGACGTACAATTTCGAATCATTGATAATGCAATTTTAATGAAACCATGATCAGAGTAGATTCCACTTGGATATACTATACAGTCTTGAACAAGAAGATCGACTGAAGTGACTATTAAATTCAGTGTACCACCATGTATGTGCGTAGGTTCTTTTACATGATTTTGAAACTGAAAATTTTCAAAAACATCAATTAGCTTAGCGGCATGTGGATCGTTAGTCCTTTCAACGTAAACGTTGAAATCACCCGTCAAAATAATACGAGAACTTAATACTGTTACATTTTCTAGCACCAATATCAGTTCGTTTAAAAATAATGTAGATAATTGTGTAGAACCCGTTCTATAAATAGTAGTATTCAAAGTAATCGATTCATTTGGTTTCTTTACCATGCATTTGCGGATAAAATACAAATCATTGTTACCAGTAAGCCTGGTACTTTCCGGGTCGAATTGGACAGATTGGTTGAATGTTTATCAAAGGTTGATTTGTGGATGCAAAACAATGCTCTTAAACTGAATCAGAGTAAAACGAAACTT